GCCGCACTTTTTAAAAAGTTGTATGCACTTTATTAAAAGCGCAGAGTTTGCCAGTTCTTCTCGCCCGCTCTACGCCCTTGATTTGGGAACTGATAGTAAATTTTGACCTTCTATCTTTAAATACGTTTATAGTAAAACAGAATTTTCGTGATTTTCTATTATTTGTAGTTTTAAGAACAATGAGTATAATTGGTAGACGTTGTTTCATATACACGCCTTAAACGAAAGTAAAATATTTAGTCTCAATATTTTTTGATCAATAAAACACAAGATTCATCTAATTGTTAATCTAAACCATTCGGGAAACCATTAAAATATAAACAAAAAAAGTTTAGAAGGAGTTTTATAACAAACAAAGACACAAGATTTATAAATATAAAGATTGCAAATAAAAAAGTTGTAAAAAATAATTGTATTGTGACTTTGACGCCTGAGTTGTTAGATAATATTACCTTCAAAGTAATTACGGAGTTCGTAAACGTAAAATGAGCGAATTGGAAGCCAAAAATAATATTTTCAAAACAAATGCTTAATATTCCATACGTTTTTAGGTTGGCATCTTGATGCAATAACAACGTGAGGACAGACGGACGTGTAATTTCCCACGAGGCTGCCCTTCTATGTAATTATTGTAAGAAACTAAAACTGTCCTGTTCTGTTAGTATTGGGTGAGAATTGTTTAGGTTAGTGGGTAAATTGTCATAGATAACAGGCGTGTGGTTACCCTATTATAAACTCAATAGAAAATTCAAATTGTAGTTAACCTTTGTGCTCTGTGCTTTTACCGCGTTTTTCCGTTTAAATTTATTAGAATAAAAATTGATGCAGTGTTTGATTGAATTGAATTCCTTCTACGAGTTCTAGAACATGCCTGTGAACTTTACAAACAATTATACGTGAATTAAATTAAATAAATAGTATTTTATTAGTCTGTTCAGTGAAATACTCACAGCAAAATTTTTACTTTGCCACAGACTAGAAGTTGCTGGTAACTTGCGCCCTAATTAATATTAGTAATAGAAACTCTTTGGTCATAACTACTTGGAATTAGAATCTTCTACCTGGGGTCCACCATGAGCTTTTATTGCGAGCCTATTGACAACCTACAACTGAACTCCATCGTTTATTCTTACCGGTTTGGAAAAAACTTGATCCAATTTAGGAACCTAAACTTATTAGCATCACATAGTTTTAACAAAGCTTGTGGTGCCCGCATCGTATATGATTTAATTTTCAATATTATAATATTTACGTTACGTCATTTTAAATTCGATTTGAAATTCGTAATTGAAATTACGATTCGATTCGAAAAAATATTTCCTTCTATTTCTTCAATATAATTCGAATCTCAAATCTGTGATACATATTGGCACTATTATCAAGTAATACAGAGTTCGTGCCGCCAACTCAATTTCACGGCTCTGAGCGCCTTCGGACAGAGTCTTTGAGGCCGAGAGAATGTTTTCCGATATCAAATAGGTTAGGTGACCCGTGTGTATGGAGAATTGTGTGATATTAACGTGCTTTGTTGGGGCATGGCTACAGTAATGGCATTATCCAATCTATATTTTATATTTTGTCATTCTATTCACATGTGTCAGCATAGTAGTTGAATTATATAGTTATAATAGCGGACCTGACAGACGTTGTCCAGCATGATATTTCAAGCGATTAAAATATTAAACAAAGTATGAAAATACCGACTGCAGCGCCATCTGCCTGAATCTAAACCATACAGGGCCCCACCTAAACACATACAAAAATTCAATCAAATCGGTCCAGCCGTTTAGGATTTCAGCAACATATACACGTGCAGTAGAATTATGTATATAAAGATTGTTGCCTCAATAACAAAATTATTACAATAGATTTTGAATTAGTCCTGATTGTATGTAAAATTGTTAATTAATTATTTTTTATTATTACTTTATAGGTTAAGAACATTGTAAATACTGTATTTGTGTAAATAAAAAGAAAGAAATATTGATTTGTAAATTCCGATATTAAATTGAAAAATTAATAAAAAAATAATACTTATTAATTGTTGTATAAAAATCTATTATACTCGATCGACGCGAGTCCAATACGACTAAAGCTCATGGATTAAGCTATCCAAGCTTTCCATGGTATTCCTGTTTATTGGATGGCGGGAAATAACGAACATTGTCGCGTGCCGTATAGAACTAAATACTCAGCACTCAGGTCCGTCTGAAACTTCCAATATCAACAGCCATAACCGAATCGATGTTTTTGTATGCAGTAACGACGTAGTTGTCTCACTATCCATATCCCTGATCTCGTAACCTTGGGATCGCTGTCGCAAAATAGCAATTAGATCAGAAGGTACAGAGAACTTACAGAGCGCTCTGCCCTGCGATTCTGTAACTCACTTTTCGAACTCACACAGCGGTTTTCGGATCGCCGGTCGCTCTCAAATCAGTCGTGAAGCAGTCATTTTATGATTTGGCATTCTGAAAAGGTGGAAGCTTGTAGTTTATTGTTTATTAGAATGCCAAATCGTAAAATGACTGCTTCACGACTGATTTCAGAGCGACCGCCGTTGCGAAAACCGCTGAGTGAGTTACAGAATCGCAGGGCTGGCCTACTCTTTTTCTTTATTTCTTTCCGTTTGCATGTATTTTGTCTTGATAGTCTTTAGATAACGATTGTTTTCCCCACAATAGTTTGCAGTTATCGTGTCACACGGTTAATATTTACTTTAGCTGTTATCGCATCGTATCTAGATGATATTTGGTACAGACACATCGAAAAGTTTATAATAATTGTATTATAGAGATTTTGTCGTTCGTGGTTTTAACTATGTTGTATGTTACTAATATTAATTTAAATTAATAGACATATAATACAAATAAGACACATATTGATATTATGTTTAGGTATTCAAATGTTGCCCCAAAAGTTGGTGTTGGTGTGATAACTTGAGCGTGTCACTCATCCCTGAGGTCGTAGTTTCAATTCCCGGCAGTGAATCAATGGACTTTCTTTGTGTGTGTTTAACACCCTCTCGTAGGTGAAGGAAAATATCGTAAGGAAACCGACGTATAGTAAACGGCCTTAGACCCAAACATGTCAACGGCGTCTGTCAGGCACAGAAGGCTGATCATCTACTCGTCTATCAAAACCTATATAGAGTCGCGCACCTATTATTATTTTTATCTTTTTAATTGTTTTGCATTGATACTTGCCTATTGGATAAAGAAAATTATCACGTAACAGATACAGAATTCTGAGGCCCAGACCCAGAAGGTTGTAGCGCCACTTTCAAATTTTGCGAGTTATGAAAAGTGGTTATCTCTTTAAACAGTTGGACATGTGAAATTAGTTCATTTAATAAATGCGTGCAAAGCAGATATCGTACGCGCATTGAATGTACTTTCGCATACAATATTCACTGCCTACCTTTGACTTGCGCTAAAATATGACAAAAAGTACGTATGACTGCCTGTGTCCCTACATCCTCAGTGTCTCATGTACTACTCTCCATACATAGAAAATCTGTAGCATCAGTACGAGCCATGATAAATATACTTCCACATTCGTAAGAAGTGGTTCAGACAATTATAGAAGCGTGATTGTTATTCATCCACTAATATTTTATTTCTTTAATTAATAAATCCTCAAAGTAACCACTTAAAATGTCGCCATGGATAAAATTTAAGCTAATCGGCCGGTAAGAACTTGGCACAGCTTATTTTGTGGTGACGTCATATAATTGTATATACATATTAAGTGAACAGTTACAAGCCAGTTGGAACCAAGCCATTGCTTTTTGTATCTTTTCAACTTAAAGTTAACTAAATTGCTTATTTAACCATGCAAATGTTTTACCGTTTTAATCTGTATACGATATAAAAGATTCACGTAACAGCCTAAAAACTAGTAGACTGATGTGAATTTTGTCAATACACGAGAATCATAGTTGGCGCGTTCTCCACTCTGAATCTCCCAGTATTCTTTATTGCTTACGCATAGAAATGTGTATAAATCATAGTTTAACCGTAGCTATATATATTGTAAAACTAAATACCACGCGAGTCGCGAGCGAGTCACCGACGAGATAAATAACATTTATATTTATCTTCATGTACATTTTTGATATAACAAACACATATTCCTAATAAAAACTATATTTTGTTAGTTTTCATATAGGTAACCAAGTACACGTCTTACGAAAGTCAACAGAATTAAATTGATTCAAAGTTAACATTTACTACCAGTTCGCAAGTCAAGGGCGTAGAGCGGGCAAGAGGAACTGGCAAGAAACTCTTCGCCACTCTTTTTAATCGCACAGTCATACAAATTGTATTGTCTTTAGTATAAGTAGTACACATTTAAATAAAACAACCGTAGCATGAGACTGAAAAGCACTCGAAATATGTTATGTAATAATTGTAAAAAAATCGCACGAACCCGCCCATTCCGACCTAGGTACGCTCGCCAAAACAGCCCGAGCTGAGCTGTAAAGGACCTAAAGGCCAACGGCGTGATTCCATTAAAACAAATCCGTGAATCCGTTAAAGTAGTTTTATTTAAATAAGAACAGATATTCTCTTTCTATTTGTTGTATTTTTTACTGTTGTACCTTTTTATAATTACCCATAAATATAGATTATTTACAATATTCTTAACGTATTTTATTTTATTAATAATTCTTTATTATTATTATTATTACAACTATTATACCAAAACAAACGTTTTTCTAAAAAGTCTTGCTTCGAGGACCATTATAATATTGTAGTAAATGTTTGTTGTAAAATAACAGATTAGTTTAAAAGATCTTCTTCAAACTATTTAACTAAAACTAAAATATTCTTATCTTGTTATAAGAGTTAAACGGTATCACGATTCACACTTAAACTAAATCGTCCCTGTCCAAACTCCATTTATTTCGCGGCTGTACATCAATTTCTGTTATCTCCGTTATCTACAAAGTTAAATTCTTCAGTTAGTACCACGCGCCGTCATAGAATTTTACAGCCATGAAGTTACTTTCGCTGTTATTTTTAATAACATTAATTAGTGCTCAAAGTGTAAATAATATTTCTATTAAACGAAAACTTTTAAGTTACATGGAAAACAACACGACGTCTTGGAGTGAACTGTTCGCAGATTTCGTGACTAGTAACATCAAGGTCTTCAGACAGAAAACAACTGAAAACGAAACCATTCCAGATCCAACTAATAATTCTGTTGCCAAAATATTTAGCAGTGTTTTCAAAATATTCAAAACGTATGTATACGATCCATTGAAAGGTCGTAAAGTCGATGTGAACATACAAGCGGACATACACACAAATTTACAAGAGGATAAGAGAGTTGTTAAAGCCAGTAGCAATCCCAAGGAAGATGTAGAGGTCATTGAGCCACGGTACCATGGAAAACTTAAAACGGATATAGAAGGGGCATCACTTTGCCTCGATGGTTTTATTAAAGATGCCGATGGTAACTGTGTGGAGGTAAAACCATCTAAATTTATAGTTTCAGTGCCGAAACACTGTCCGATCGGCTATAGGTCAGATTGGCTTGGTAATTGTAGGCAAAGTTTTTGAATATAAAGCAAATTGGCTATTACTAAGACTGACGATTAAATGAATTGATAATTATAATTGCATTTTCATTGCAACTCTGTTATTACCATAGCAATTATCATTTCTCATTCTCGCGCATCAAAGATTTATTGTTGATATAAATTTAAATTGAAAACCTAATGATGCATACAATTTCAGTTATTAACAATGCATTAAAAGCTACACAAATGTTCATTACCAGCATACATTCTTTATATAAACAATGTAAATAATGGTTGTATGTAGCGTAGAGCGAGCAAGTATTTACTATCCAATAGCGAGGGAAGTAATTTCGATCAGGTCAGACAATACGCTAGTCAATTTCACGCTTTGCTTGCTCCAAAGAAGCTACCTGCGATCAAACGGCCACAAAGGCGATTAGGAATCGACTGTATTGATTGTATCTGTTTTTATGCGAATAAATAAAATTATTGTTTCGGCTACAATAAATGGTATTGGTCTCAGATTTCTGTTTCTGTTTCTTGCTCAATTGTTTTTCTTAATTGGCTAGGTGTCTGACAAATGTTGTTGTTCCCACAACGTTTTCCTTAACGAGTGTTACTTTCGGGAATAGAAAGTCTTTCAGTGCACAGCCGTGATTTAAACGACATTGAGAAGGTGCACGCTCTAGCCACTTGGCCAACACTGGTCCTATGTACTACGAACCTTAAACTAAATTACTATTGAATTGTTCTGAAATACCATTAGTGAGTTCAGATGTTATAGCAGTCTATTCTCATATAACTCCACGTCACCAATTCAGTGACTATGCTTTATGAATATATTTATTAACTATACCGTAAATAAATAGAACTAAGTTAGCGGATGGTTGGTTAAGTTATTACTGGATAATAAAAATGTTTACCTAGGATACTCGAACAAAACTTTGAACTCGAACATTAAGAATGTTAATAGATATTTTAGTTTAAGTTCAGTTTACTGGTATTCTAGCAAATTATCATTAAATGAGTTATAAGCCACACTTAGTATAAAATTCTGCAAAAACTCTCTATTTTTACAAAATTCATTACACATTAACAAAAAATATTTACAAAATCTGTTTCATGTGCATTTTGTACAACCTGCTAACTAGGTATAGACAATTTGTAGAACGGGACATTTAAAAAATAATACTAGATTTTGACTATGTAGCGACACCTACAATCTGTGGTTTGAAAATGATCACGTCGTATCAGAAATCGTTCAAAGTGTTATCGTCCGCTGAGCATATATTATGTACAACAGAAAAAGTCACCTTGGGATCTGTGTGCCGCGATATTACGGGCTACCCGATTGCGAGGACGTTGCATGGATCTGGTTAGCGCTGTGCCGAATTCATAAGTTCTCAAGTCCTTTTCACACGTGTATATCTTATTCCTTATATAACTTTATTGTAAAAAATAATATTATAAATTTAATGTTCGATTAAATGAGTGCCGCAAACGCGAGGGTCCATTTGGACGGTATTTTTTTAAGAAATAAATTCCCTAAATGTGTACTTTAATAATTAATAAATTCTTTTATTATACACGACTTACTTTTTTTTATATCGATCAACTAAATATGAACTTTCTTTTGAGACACCTTGTATTTCATAAGTCTTTGGTTATCTTCATTACAATGTATGATGTTTGAGAGAATAGAATAAAATAAAATACAGCTTCTAGACCTTAGCCAATACAGCCTTTGCGACGCCCAGGCAGTGGTAAGACTGGTCAACAATCCTCCTTTCGGCCACGTTCTATCCTTCACAACAACATGAGACAAATAGTAAATTAGTTGTAATAGCTTAAAAAAATTGTTTCATCTTTTACAATATTTCTGTTTTGTATACGAAAGGTACGAAATACCAGGAGCATTGATAAGGGTCTTAACATAACGTTTAAGCGTCTTCCCTTTTGGCTAACCTTACTAATAAGAAATAATGATATATTCAAAGAGACCTGTTGGCGTAATGAATGATGCGTGCGTTTAAAGACTTTGCTCCATTGGATCAGGCACATAACAGACGCAATCTAAGGCCAACTTATATTGAATCGCCATTGGAGTATCATTTTGTTTTTAAATATTTTATGACCGAATGTATTCTTTCTTTTTACTAAAATATAAAAACGTATATCGTAAAACATGGGCTCCCTAACACACTTGTCTCATTAAAAGTTGTGTCGGTGTGATTAATTACGTCGTCTGCGATCGTCGCTTATTACAAGTTGCACGTGAGGATGTATGAAACTGCTAGTTTTCATCTCCTAACGATCGCTTACTTTACTTGAGAAACGGAATACGTATGTGAAAGTTGAACCATTATATGCCTCGAAACATATGATACTAGTGGAGTTTATCGAGAATGTTACTGTATTTAAGATTACGTTACAATTAATTAACATGGATGCTTTCTAGTAGTAGTTTTTTAAATATAAACTTACAGGGAAATTTTTAAATTTAAGATTTAAATTTGTTGGTTGTTCGGGAGAGATGAAATTTTTTAAATTCTCCATACATTTTCTATGCGAACGATGTTTGTTTTTTTAACGAATATCGATGCTTCCTAGATACCAATCCAACACAAAGTTACATCCACGCATGTTTTTGTTTCAGTTGATATGTAAAATTGTTGTAATTGACGCTTATTATAATATACATATACCGGTAACATTTGACATCATGTAGCTGCTATAAACTTAATGGTTCTAGATTTCGCGTTTTCATATATTAATTTCATTCTGACATGAAAATATCGTTTTGAATTAGCATTCAATTGTTTTAAAAGTTTATTATATATGTAGACATTTTCCATTCCATAATTTATTCTAAAATACAACCCTATAAACCAATTATTTTATCCACAAATAAGTCTTTAGGTTTTTAAAAATGTTTACTAACAGTTAAACATCTATTCCATCATCTTAAAGCCGCGTTCCAAATTGCTAGCTATTCAATTAGCTGCAACCCCGAAATTGTACTTTTACAAATGCTTTGTACCATTTACCGTCAATCTACTTTGTTGTTTCGAAATTGTCATTAATTGCAATGTTGCTTAAACATTTTTATTAATACACATGATATATATATATGTAGTAGCATTATATATATAACGGCCAGTCGTCGCGTAGTTTCAAGTAAGCTCCGAAGACGGTATCCCTTTTCATGAAGGCACTTTAAACCTTATATAAAAAAAATTATATTATAACTTATAACTGTTCACTAACGGATTTTTTTTTCTTTGTGAGCAATAATCACACTACTTTTATATATTAATTGTGAGTCAATTAACCTTAGGCTGAGGTTTTACATGTCTGTATATACATACTATTATTTATACCTTTTCTTTAGATTTTATTTAATTTTAGTTATGGTTGCATGTTATTTTTAGTATCTTTTTGTTAATTAATTATGCATCTCTTGTACTTTACCCTCTGTAGGTGTTCCTTTTTTTCTATTGTTCCATTTTAGGGTTGCCAGGAAGAAATCGCTTGTTAGCGATAACGCCGCCCGTTGCCTAATAACTTATGTAACCTACTTACTTTTTTTTTTTTTTCTATATGTATACTTATGTATATTATGGCAATGAAGTATAAATAAATAAAATAAATAAATAAATCACTTGCTCCTATATTGAAGGAAGAGACATCATAAAGAAACCGCATATGGTTTTCGGCATACCTTAGACCATGTTTTTTTGACCGAAAGTTTTTTACGCCGGCTTTATCTCTCGGCCTACACCCTCTGTCTTCTTTGCCGATGAGTAGGGATGCCTACAAATTCAAATTTAATGACGTGGAATAAGTAATACATGTATCTTATGTTCCATAATAAACATATTTTTTATTTTATTTTATGTAGTTGTCACAATACAAAGGGCTCATTAGCATCAGCTATAACCTATAAAGACAAAATATTATTAAGAGACGCAGAAAACACAGCGACGCATAATAACTTTTACAGATTGAGACAAAATTATGAATACAGCTAGTTTATTTTTGCTTATTGCTTACAACATTCGGATATCAGTCAAGACTTCTAAAGTCTGGGAGGTCATATAACGCTGGTGGAAAGCAAAGTTGTAATTAGCACCTGCGCAACAAAGTTTGCGCAATAAATAATAACTGATTATATAAGAGTGTTCGCTGTTTTAACATACAAATTCGTTAAGTGGTTGAGTCACCTTTGACCTCACCTTTTCGCAATGCACTTCACTGTTTCGTGTTTTCGTGCTTTCATGCACTATTTACACATTGACAGCAAGTGCTTGCCGGCGTACGCTTTTCTCACAATTACTAAAATGTATATAATTAAAACAATAGAAATTCAAAATCTAAAAAATTCCATACTCAAAAATCATTTAATCATATAGGTAACACATTGTAGACTTATGATCGTCAAAAAAAAGGAAATGTATATGAAATGCTTCTTACTTTACATTTAGTCCCAGTTCTCAAATAAAGGGCGTAGAACAGGAGAGAAAGAAGAGAGAAGAACTGACAATAAACTCTTCGCCACTGTTTTAATCGCCATTTTTTTTTACACAACGTTTGTAAGGAGCTGCAACCATTACACCATGTTACACATGACATCATAAGTAATTAATAATAAACCTTTTCATATCACTGACATTATTGGTATATAAAATTGAAACAAGTTAAATACTCTGTTGGCTTTTACGGTGAGATAATGAACATTGAATACATAAGCAGTATTGGTACATACTAACCCGTTTATATTGACCCAACTATAGTATTTATAGACCATAATTTTACGCAAAGCCGTATAACATTATGTTTCACACGAGTACTAAAACTTCTAATTTTATATAAGCGCGATTGTATTATATAGCGGCTGGCGGCCTACCCCATCTTCACACGGCTGGTCTTAGTAAATAGCTTCTGTTACTACGGAATCATGTAGCATTCTAAAGATGGAAGAATTTTAATTCTATACCGTAGTTAGATTTTTTCATTTATCAGTTACTAAGTTACAAAATA